ATTTTTGTTTTCTAATATAGGGCTATATTTTGGAGGAAATCATGCAGCTAGGCCTCTATAATACTAGAGACGATCTTCCTACTTATTTTTCCAATGTATCTTTGTTGAAGATGAATCTCAAACAACAAAACGACCATGGATATGTTTACGCATATTTTGTGTGATTGCAGAATTTTACATAAGTTGTAATCATAATAAAATCATGTACATATCTGTTTTAAAAATACACCTACAAAAAAATGCAATGAGAAAATTCTATATACCAATTTTATCATGTACATCCCACGTATTTTGGGACATCGTAACAAATCAAATGGCAACATTACATTATTTTCCCATTGATTTCATACCTTATAAGTTATATTGATATATACAGATATTATGAAATATTCCTAAACTGATAAATATCAATTCTAGTATACAAAAATTAAAAATTAATTTTACTTTTGGAAAAAAATCAATTTATTAAATGATAGTATGTGATTCCTCAGAATAGTAGAAGATTATTATTCTACATGTGTCAATCCTTTCTTTTATTTTTTTTTTCTGTAAACATGGTGACAAAAATGAAAATATTATGTCAAGAAACCGAAGAGGTATATGTTACAGATATTTTTTATTTTCCTTCTTCACATAAGCAAATGCCTTTTATATATTTGTTTCCCCTCTACAATCTCATTAACTTCTAATCGAGAATACAAGGTCAATGTCAACTTACAGAAATTTCGGAATACAAATTATTACAAATTAATGCCTTTTATATAAGGGGTGAAACTTGCATATATTAAAACAAAATAAAACCCTTAACAAAAAAAAAAACTTGCATGAAAATAAAATAGTCGAGAAACCGGAGAGATGTGAAATGTCTTCTTGTTTTTTAGTCATTCATATATATAGGCAATACCTTTGTTATGCAAGTCGAGAAACTAATCCTATCTAAAATATATAACAAAAGGAGATTATCTGTATGTAAAATATGTACAAATCTCCTCAATAATTGAGATGGTAGCACTGAAAAGTGGATGTGTAAACCTTCAAACTAATTTTTTTCAGAAAATACGATATAAGTTTTTCTCAAGACAAAACGTACTACTGAGATTTGCACATTTCATGGTGCATAAATCACTATTAATTTATTTTCATCTAGCTAGGGTTTTTTCATTTAGTCTTCTAAATGTTGAAATTGGAGTTGACCTACTCTTGTTCACCAACGCAACTTCATTGTTTGGTACTAATTTATTACGTAAGTAGCAAGTTACAAAAAAAAGGAAGACCGTAATATTCTCCCCATCATTGAACTTTATTCTAATACTAGGTAAAGGACCCGAGCGTTGCACGGGTTTGGCTTTTGAATTGTTGTTTGTCGAAAAATTAAACGGTATATATGTCAAATAAATTTTGTGTAATACAAGAATAAAATTATAGAAAAAAATTAAATGGTATATTTCTTTTTAAGGAGTGAGTATAAAATGATTTATTTTAAGAGTAAGATAATTATAAATGGACGTAAACGAGGATAAATATAAGATGATTCAAACTTAACTAATGCCTACTACATAATTGCAAACTCAACATCACAATTTA